CAAGTTATTTTTAGTAGATCTGATTTCTGACCATCTATTTCTACAAATTGTTTCCTTTCTCCAATGTAATTTCCCTTGTAGTTTTGTTTGCCACTGCTTTTTGTTGGTCTGTTACATGGAATCTCCTACACTGAAGTTTTATGATCTAAATATGTTTTTCTGGGACAATTAAGATTTTTTTAAAGTACAAATAAAAGTAAATAGTAAAATAGAACTGACTAAAACTAAGCTGCACAGTTTAGCCCAATTGATTGGTTTAATGATGATCTTTATTATCATGTCCTCAGGCTACTGATGAAGTCCCTATCAGGGAACAGCAGATGGCGAAACAGAGACACGCTGGTCCCCCTAGAGCTGGCTTCCAGCCATGGGTACCCCAATACACACATAAACACAGACACGCACAAACACACATGCAATTTTATCCATATTAGGAATTTACATAAATTCAGTTATTCCATGTGTGCGTAGCCCCGACGGCTACCCCTAACCCCGAACAGCTACCCCGGACCCCTAACCAAAAGATAATTGGCAATAGGGCTTTAAACCAAATCCCTAAAATTAAACAATGGCGGCCTGCCACATTAGGACCAGACTCTGTTCTTCATAGGGCCTGTTGGTTCTTAGAAAATGTTCCAACAGGCCTTACCAAGAACAAAGTTTCGTAAATAGGCATCTTAAAGAAGTTTCCAGACGTTATTGGGCCTAACACTGATGCATAAACAATTTATGTCCTATCTTTATGGGGACTTGGCATTGTCTTCCATTCATTCCATATTCATTTCATCAGATGCTCAACCTAACGCCAACCTTTTCCAAGACACACCTAACCCTAAACCCCAATCCTGGAAGAGAACCTTTTCTCATAGCGACCAGTGTTCTGGTTCCCATGAGGAGCTGCAAGTCACCACAAAGTAGCATATTCCTACAAAATTGGCCTTCTGTCCCAAAGCAAGGGTAAAAAATGCTCACAAACGCGCATTTTTGTCTTCCTATATGTAATGATGACCATAAGTTGACTCCCACTGACTTCCTTTGATTCCAACTCCTTCTAAACACTGAAAAGAGTTAGATAATGTTCAGCTTTGCCCATTAGCCACATGTACCGTATTTTCACGACCATAAGGCGCACCGTACTAAAAGGCGCAGCCTCAGTTATGTGTGCTATTACTGTATTTAACACACACATAGGGCGCGCCGCACATTTTGAGGGGGAAAAAAAAAACGTTTATATGCGCCTTATAGTTGCGAAAATACGGTAATTGAGTTTTTGTCATATGTGTCTTCCAACTGATGTGTGACAAAGAGTTACACCCAGAAATGTATGCTACTATACTCGTTCTATCAGGGCATTTTTAACTTTAATTTGGACATCCAATGAAGTCAAAAACAATTATTATAGTTTTTGCTACATTCAGTGATGATTTTTTTATTGAACCTCCTTTTTTAACTTACCCATTTCATTATTAATCTGGATCAAAAGTTGCTTAATGTTTCCCCAGAGAATATTATTTTAGTGTCAGCAAATCTCAGTCTCTCTCTCTCACTTAGATTGGATTTTATCCAGTTTGCTTCCATTTTCTGTAATAAGATGTCGTGCTTCATTGTATCAAACACTTTTTTTAAGCTTATGAAAATTCCCATTTATCATATAAGTTTTGATAGTGCTATTGAAATAGACCTGTTAATGAAGGCCACCAAAAAGTTTATGTTATGGCACAGACCAAGGGAGCCCAACCAGAAATGGTCTCAACAGCACCTCAACATCCCCCCCAAGGAATTAGCTCAACAACCTACTACAGCTGAAAGGCTAAACTTGAACTTAGCTACATCCTGTTCTGGGTGTTGTTCTGATTTGAAACACTAGTTGACTTACTACTCCTTTACCTTAAAGTGAGTTTCCATCCTATTCTTTAGCCTAGCAGAAAAAAATAAAGTGAGGACCAGCAGGTTCTCAGTTGGATGATTAAATTTAGGGAGAATCGTCCTCACTCCAATGCAAAGACAGAGCACACACTCTTTTTTTTTATGTTGCAGGTGAACGGCTGCAGGTGTAGCACTAACCTGGCTCTTTCCATTTCCAAGTTCCCTCACTGGGCTGCATTTCCCTTTATCACCTCATTGCTTCCCTTTGCCTCTCAGCCAATGGGATGGCAGCATGGTGGAATAGCTGTGGAGGCTCTGCAGGCAGTGTTTTCACACTTTTTGAGGATTAATGTTTACGTTGTGGGCTCTTCACTGGCTGCATCATTATCATCATCGCTACACTTGTCTTCCTCCTTACTGCTTTACTGCTCTGCACCTCCTATAATGCTCCTGTACGGGCAGCATGCTTCCAGTACAGTTCTAGGGCGTGTTGTTGATTCCTTGTCTACCTGCTTGTCCTCCAGGTGACATCAGAAAACTACCAGCCAGTCAGCAGCAACCTGAATGGCAGCGGCTTCAGACCATTTGACATGATCATACCGTTCTCCTTCAGGACAGGAGAAATCACTGGTACATGTTCTGGACAAAACTTATAGATTGTCGCTGGAAATGTTAATGCATGTGGTGTGATATGTAGATTAATGCACATTTGGAATAAAAGGGGTTTAAATTAGACACTGAAGAGGCAGGAGAGGAGATGATCCCTTTACTCTGCTATGGTTCCCTCTCCAGGGGAGGTGTTGATGCCTTCAGGACAATCTGCCCAGCCTGTGATCACAGACAACATGAATGGGACGGTGACTGTTCAGTACTCGCCCACTCAGGCCGGCCTGCACGAGATGCACATCAAGTACAATGGCACACATATCCCAGGTCGGTACTGGTATAGTAAATGTGACCATCGGCGGTCACATTTTCACATTACATGTCACCATATTTTGGTCCCATTAAAAAGCAACAGATGTAAAGGTTCCTAAAGGACGTCATAAGGAGACTGATAACTATGTTGTTTATTCATACCAACAGATCTGTATGAATGACCTCATATTCATACCCACAGTGTACCAATCAGTCTTGACACACTGATTGGCATGTTTATTGTCGTATGGAACTCATATTTAAATGTCAAATCATTCAGGCTTAAACATCTATATAAATGTTCTCTTTATCAAACCAAAATGTCTTAAAATCAGTTTTTTTTTTTTTTTGTCGTTATCTTCTGCAGGCCAGTTAGTTCTACGTCAGCCTGAACACCTAAATTCGGCCAATCATATATCAACGGTCATCTGTCAATCA